TGAACCCCAAGGTTGAGGGGCTTTCACCCAGTCCCTAGAGCCTGGCACTTGAACTTGGACTTAAAGCCTCCAAATTGTAAGAATAAACTCTTGTTTGTTAAGGCCAGCCCATTTGTGGTATATTTCTTGTCAGAGTGGCACTAGGGAACCAGAACAGATGCACACTGGTATTTTCAATAGCTACGGAAACTACAGGGATTTTATGCTTCTTAAAAATCCTCATCTGCTGAATTCCATGGTTCTCCCGTCATGACCCATCACCCTGCTCCTTCCTTTGTTTCTTGGCTTGTGCTGCTCCCTACCCCTTGTCCCAAGGGGTTCACATCCAGTCCTCAGTCCTTTGCACATTCTTTTCTATGTCTTACACATCCACTCATCCCCAGTTCATCACTCCCACCTCTCAACATCATTTCTGTGCTTGGGATTCCTGGTCCTGACTTCTCACCTTGCAGATAGTCCTAGATTTCTAACTGCTACGTTTGAGGGCTCCCTCCCCTCAAATTCAGTGTCCAAAGCACGTAACATTCTTCTTCTTCTATGCTAAACTGCCTTTTCTTCCAACTTTCCCCATTTCTATTAAAAAAAAAAAAAAATCACTGCCAGCAAGTCAATCCTGACTCACAGCAACCCCTTCTTGGGTTTCCGAGGCAGTATCTCTATGGAAATAGATTGCCCAAACTTTCTTCCGAGGAGTGGCTGGTGGGTTTGAACCACCAGCCTTGTGGTTAGCAGTCAAATGCCTTAGGCACTACACCACCAGAGATTCCATATTAGACATTTTGAAATCACTGTTTTCTTCTTCTCCCTATCTCTACATTCTGTCAGCAACTTCTGTTATTTTTTCCTTTGAAAAACTTCTTGGATTCTCTCCTTCTGTGATAATCCCATTGCCGACACCCACTTTAATGCCCTAATCACTTCAAGCTTCATGCCTTCTGCAACTGGCCTCCTTGACTTTCATTATTAATTCCCTTCAATCAGTGCCAGATCAATGTTCTAAAGCACAGTGTTTTTCTAAATTGTCTAACTCTACTGTATGCCTTTAAATGACTTCCATAAACAGTGGTGCTGGTACCTTATTTCCCATTTGACTGCTACACACACCTCTGCTCAATGAACACAGCACTTAGTACAGCGTGGACAGACAGAATGTGCTCATTAACACTTTTATTCACAGGCTACCAAGGGAGTCTGGTTTTTAGTAACTGGTAGAAGATAAAAAGAGTCAACCATTATATCATTAGCCACAGTGGGAGTTGTGTAATGGTTCTGCAGAAAAGAAAACCCAAAACCAAACCCACTGCCATCGAGTGGATTCCAACTCATAGCAACCCTACAAGACAGAGCAGAAGTGCCCCACAGGGTTTCCAAGGCTCTAAGTCTTTACAGAAGCAGACTGCGACATCTTTTTCCCAGAGCAGAGGCTGGTGGGCTGAAACCACGGACCTTCTGGTTAGCAGGAGAATGCTTTAACCACTGCGCCACCAGAGATCTCACCAGGAAAGAGTTTTAAAAACTAACTAAGAGAAACACTTTTAGC